AAAAAAAAAAGGATGAATGCATAAAACATGTAATATAAAGAACTACATAAAGAGGATTATTAAATCTGAAATCAAGAAATGTAATGTTATGATTCTTATATTAGCAACAGTGAAAAAGCACACCAAAAATACCAAGTAACTGTAAAGTCTCCTAAGTCAAAATGTTTCCCCACAGAGCTGTTCTGAAACCTAGACAGTCTTTTATTCTCAACCAGCTCTATACATTTGTGAAGCTTTTAGATTTATGCTCAGAATTAAGGGGAAACACAGAAAAAAGTATATAAAGTTAGAGGGGGAGACAGTGTACATTGGAAGGACACTACATAAAAATTAAAGCCTTCAGAGCTCTATTTTATAGCTTTATTTTATACATGTGTTTTCAACTACATTTATATTCATTATGCATAGTTATTGCTAAAGAACATGAACTTTTCCACAAGAACTTCTGCAATGTTCAGCTTAATGGAACACATGTATGAACAAACTTTAATGGCTGTAAAACATTCACCCTGAGCAAAGATCAACCCTTCCCAGGTCGTGACAGTCAGCTTGCACCAGGGTAGCTCCCTAGAGGTATCACTGCAACAGCATGTTCCAAAGAGGATTTGTACTGGAACCGTAAAATATAAAAATAACTAAGTCACGAAAAGATGCCAGTAAAACCTGACCTGCCACAGAAAGTAATTTGGAAAAGCTGCCCTCATGTCCTGTTACTGTCTCCATCAAAGACAGTATGTTTCTTTCAAATGAGAATTGGCTGCAAAACCAAACACAGAATAAGTGTCACTACAAGATAATGATTAGTGCTTGCAATTACGATATTGAGGTGAACGGCTTGAACATACTGTTTCTGGTTTTTGTTGTTGTTAACATAAACGTTCTAGAAATATACTGATCTGACAAAAGCAGCAGCTAGAAGCAGAGCTGTCTGAAGCACTTGTCACCATTTCAGATTATCGCAGATTCTCAGACGAAAAAACAGAAAACACAAAACTGCTGCAGTTATTGAAAAGTATCACTCTTATTCAAAACAATTTCAGGGAACACGCTCTGTCTGCTTGGGTCAGACCTCACTACAGCAACAGAAAAAAGTCCTGTTTGACCTCTTAAAGGCAAAAGCAATTGCTCGAGGAAATTACTGAAGATCATTAGCTGTACAAAGCAGAAAATGAAAGGGGGAAGATAAATGTTATGTACTCAACTGATTGAATATTCAGATTTTAGCTTCAGAAGCAAAACTGAAATAGCTATTTATACCACAAGAAATTCTTAAGTGACCAAAAGTACTTCCTTTCAGCACAGAGCTGCAAAAAATCAAGTGGCAGAAAAAGAATTTCAAAGTGTTATTAACTCAGATCCAAGTAATGGAAAAGCTGATTTGGCACACAAACTTGAAACCAGGAAGACCTTAATCCTTTCTTCTTACTTATCCCTCCATATATCTATATCCTTAGCCACAATTTGCCAAGTTTGTTCACATCAGCAAAACATAAAATACCAAGAAAAAATAAAGTATCAGTCAGAAGGATGAAAACGTGCAGTACCTCTAATCGCTGTATCCTTCCCTTGAAGAACATGAACAGAGAAGAATTTGGATAAGCAGATTCTTTTTTTGCAAGAATTTCTTTTGCCTCTTTCAATCCTGCCTTGTTATCACTGCCATCGAGAGCAAAAAAGGGACGAACAACTGTGTGGTACCACAACAAAGCTAATCTACAAGAAACAGAAGAATAAAGATTATAGCTCATAAGCAAACGTTTAAGAGGTTTATACTCTGGACAGGCAAATTTTACAGTGGCTCTGCAAAACAAAGCAGGGTACGAATCTTTCCTTTCACATTATCATAATACATTGATGTATTCCTAAACTGCACCTGAGCACACAATCCAATGCACAGTGCCCAAAGTTCAACCCAGCTCACAGAATCAATTCACCAGATAAATTCAGTATTTAAAAGTCTACATTTTTTTAAAAAAAAAAGAACTGCAGTAAAACTTTTAAAAAATCATTTTTTAAAAAAGGACTACTATCAACACACAACATCCATGTAAAACATCTGATTTTCATATCAGAAATACATCTGATGTTCCGAATGGCAGACGTCTCACTCCTGCAAAGAAGAGCAAAGCACTAAAACATCCAAGGCTGTCTGAAGGAGGGAAGACTCCAAAATAATGGCATTCCCATTTCCGCAGAAGGGGAAAGAAGGAAATCAGCAGGCACATTTAATCTTAAGCCTGTTTAACCAATTTGGAATCTGATTCTTCTCTTCACACAGAGGAGATTTTAGCCCCTCTGCAGTCAATGTTTCCGAAGTGGCACTGCGAAGACTTGACTGTAGATGCATAATAAAAGTATTAATTTGTGGAGACCAGTAAATGGAGCCTCCATAAATGGGTTTAAATTAAGTCTGTCTTACCCTTTACTCAATAAAAGGACCAGAATGCAGTATGAAAGCTTGGGAAAAAGAGTACACAAAGAACATTCCTCTAAAAAGATCAAAAAGACTGTGTAAGGGAACACTTCAGTATTCTTAGATAACAAAATTAAAAATAAACTGAAAAAGATCATTGGATGATAATAAGGAGAAACAACTAAGTGACGTCAATTACTCCCATGACATTCTTCTCCATGAAAGGCTATATTATTTAACAACTCATAGGTAAATTTATTGAGCCCTCATGAGATGCTCTTTTCTATTCTATTGGCGTATGAATTACTAGAGACATTACAATAGCAGGGACTGAGGAATAGAGCACAACTCTCACACAAACCCAAAAGACATCTCAATAACCAATTACAGTATTATAGGTTTTGTACACTACCAACGGATGAATTTGATAAACTGTGGCACGTTGAACAAAAGTTACACGTTTATTTTACCTGCTGCTGTTTTCTTTAAAACAACATGACTTTTTCGGTTCTGATTTTTCCCATTCACTTACTTTCAGTACTAAGTTATCTACCAAAGCATTTCAATATAGCTACTCACGTAGCTAAAGGGGCCTTCATGTCCTTACTTTCACTTGCATACATCAGTGAGGAAAGCCCCTGTAGGCGGTCTCCAGGAAAACCCAGCAGGTTGATGATTTTGAGCAGGTTTGGGGGCACCATGGATATGCAAAGATGAAAAAGTCCATATCCAAAGCTAACAGCACCTTTCAGTCTGTTTAGCGAATCCTCCGTTACACCTTCTGCAGCAATATGATTATCATTTGCAGCATCAGAAGTCAAGGAGTCCTGAGTTGTTTTCTTCTGATAAATTTCCTGAAGTGTATTAATGTCCATATAGCACTTATTGTAAATTTTCCAGGCTTTTCGGAGGATCCACCCACCTTTTATGTATGCTAAAGATCAAGGGAAAACAAACAAACAAACACAAACATGTCAAGTACATGTTTCTGAAGTGTAGCATAGTATTGCACAAATCCTAGGATGCACTCTCATTTGCATACAATTAACCCATGCCATAAAGAATTTTGTAACAATAGCCACTTCTATCATATTGGGCATCACAAGCTTAAGTGCAGGTATGCAGGTATGCAGCACAAAGCAGGCAATCTTCTCCTGTGTAGCAATAGAGAAACCAAAGCAACTGAAGGCTGAATTCACTCCACAACAGAGCAAGAATGAAATGACTGCCTGGCAAACAGAGAGAAGCAAAAGTGAATGTTATGCTTAAGTCAAATATTGTTAAAAGAATGTGGATGGGAAAAGATTCCTTTGAGGTGGACAGCAAGATCTTCCACAGCTCATCTGAGTAAAAAAACCACGATACCGAATACAATGTTTCATATTAAAAATAAATAAATAAATAAGAGGCAAAGGCAAAATAAAGAACCCATAAATTTCACATTTTTAATACGTTCAGATACTTAACTGCCTCAATTTCAAATGCAAGCTGGGTACCAAAATTTCCATAAAAATCTGAGTTTGAATATCGTAAGCTGGTTTAAGCAAGATCTATATTTACAAAGGAATGCACAAAAAGTACCTTAAAGTTGTCAAAATAAAAGAGCATGACATCAAAAGATGAAGGGATGTCCAATTTGCCTGTATATGCAGCAGCCACCGTGGTTATGGCACCTCTTTGGACAAGCATGAAAATGGTAATCAGAAAGTAAACGAGCAATATAATTGCAGATTAATTGTAAAATGCAGACAACAGCATTTTGTGCTACAGCCTTGAGAGTTAGGAACTAGAGTAATAAAGCTACACGGATGAAAAATAAAAAAGGTTAAAAAGTGCGGATATTAGCAACAGTGTTCTAAACAGATCACAAATTTACAAAGACCAGTGTCACAACAAGAACTCGAAAATAAACATATGTGCTGTGTTTAAAAAAAAAAAAAAAGGCAAAAACTACAAAATTTGTATTCTCAGTTGTGGCGGAAGGGTTAAACTTGCTGCCAACATGAGCTAAAGCTATTTAAAAAATTAATAGCAAATGCAACGGAGCATTCAGCTACCAGTTGTAATAAAAAATGCAAACCCCTGCCATGATTCATCTTTTGTATAAAGCTAACGTTACTTAAATTTGCAGCAATTAGGTCACTTTTCAGCTCCACAAAGTATTTTAGAGTTATGTGGTTCACCACAAGACGAATGCTCATACAACCATGTAAGGCAATGCAACAGACAAATAATAAGCAAAAACACACTTCTTTTTTTAATCCTACAGAGGATCGTGATAAAGCTATTGCTCTACATCCATGACGGTGGAGAAAAAAAATCTATGTGTTTAATGCCCACCATGCTATTAAAAAATCCTGTAAGAAAGCAGTTTGTGCACTCTTATATGCTTCTTGCCAAAGTGCCCCAGGAAGAAAATCAAATAAATAAATAAATATTTTTTTTTCTTCCCATCCTCTTCTCAGGAAAATCTGCCTCTGAAGAACACACTTATTTGAAATGACACTCATTTCAACGATCTGGTTGTTATTTCTGTGCAGAAATGTGATCATAAAACAAAGATGTTTATACAGAATCAGAAAGGCAAGACGGTTGAAAAATTTACTAAAATAACAGACCCAACAGTTCAGCAAAACGGTGCCACAATGGCTGCAACTAACAATCATAGAGGCAGCCTTCAACCTCTTGAAAATCTTAACTAAAGATTTTAAACATGTTTTTACTCAGGAGAGAAACCCAGATATGCTGCACGTTCTGCGGTACTCCGCTAACCACTTTAGCTCTCTGAGCAGCAGACAAGAAAAACAAGGACAGACACCACTCTCTGTAGCTGCTTTGAAACCTGTAATGCAGCACCAGCAGCACATATACTGAAATGATGAAAGAAGAGAAGAGGAAAAAACAAACAAACAACTGAATGAAAACCCAGAGCTGAGAAAAAGGAATCCCCACCTGCTTCTACACTGATACAGCAACAAAAACTCACTCCCTGAGTTTCTGTTAACTAAAACCAAGTGCATACCTTGTGTCCTACCTTAGGAGAAAGCAAGGCTGCATATCAAAGGCCTTTGGTCAAAGATCTTAGCATTATTTTCATAATTTGAGTATTACTTCCCTGGTTCCTTCTAGCTGATGAGAGGGATTTTCACTGACAATCTGCTCTGACCGCTTCTCTTGGTCTTTGTTAATACTAGCACTACTTGGGAACATGCTTCTGTAGCGCCTGACCTTGACTACTTTTTAGATAAACTAAGATTGAAGAATGCTCTAGATTATGCAAGAGAACCAGTAACACAAGAGAAACTTTAAAAAGCAGCTCTGAGCCAAGACAGGGTGGTTTGTCTTCCATAAATCACCATTAACCTCTTTGGTCATCTCAGTGTGGCCTTGCATGCCAGAGAACAGGAACAGATTCGGCTCATCCACCTTCAACACATCTCCAAGTGGCCACCACACCCCCCTAGGAGGAACCAGGCTTCAGCTGCTGCTATCTTTTTTTTTTTTAATCTTGCAGGCCATGTGAGGTATTAATGCTACCCATCTTTGTACCACTCCTACAGTGCCTCTGTGGGAACATGAAAAGAATTCCAACCGAAGAACCACCAGCTGAATATGGTTATTGGAGTGCAAAAAGTGGAAAGCTGTGATTTATAGCAATCCACCTTATGGTTCTCCTGTGTACAGAGGTAGAACAATACTGCTGCAAGCACAAGGATCTTGGAAAACCTATCCCTTGTTTCAAATGGAAATGATTTTTTTTCTTACAAAAGAATCATCTTTACTGATACTAACCATCATTGTGGCAGTTTAGTATCAAGCTTTACTACACAAAAAACATGCAAAAACAACAAACACTAAAGCCATAGCACACCTGATAATTCCTGTTTTACAAATGACAGCACAGCCAAGTAGACTTGACAGTCAGCTACAATTATTTGTCTTTGCAGTCGATCAATCATGGATACAGCGGATTTTCGTCCATCAACCTGTATGAAACACACAAAGCAAAGGGAAAAGAAGTTATTTTAATATCAAACTGAAATATTTGGTGCAACATTTAATACAGATGAATTACTATATTTTTCCACTGTGACCACTGGTATTTTTAATTTCCAACTAATATTGCTTTGCCCTAAAGTGGCTGAAAAATTTTTATGAAAATATTACCAAAAAGAACACCAGTTCTCTGATAGCACCTCAAACAAGTTCCTACTTCCTAAGCACAGAAACCTTATATATGTGCTGCCAGCTTGCTTTAAGATTCTGCAAACACTCTGACACATTTGAATATCATATCATATTTGAATACCATATTAATGTATTCATCAAATATGAAGCAAATGTGTTAGGAAGAACACAAGAAGGACCATATGGCAAGTGGCAGGAAAAACACGGTGCCTCTTAAGAGCATGCAATTAAGTATGTCATGTCATTTCATGAATGTTCCACACTTTCTATCAAATACACTAAACGGCAAGGAGAAACAGTTTTTCAGTCATCTGCCGTAGAGCTCCTGGGCTACACTGGGAAAAGCACTCAGCACTTTTATGCAGCTACTGTTTTGACTATTTCCTTGTCTGCATCTGTTATTCTTCATTGATTATTTAGAAGGAATTTCTAATAGAGGAAGAAAAATTCCCTAGGAATTTGCCTGGCACATAGCACAATGCAGTCTCATGAGTTCTGAACATTACTACAGCATAAATAAATTAAAATGACCCTAATTAGCCAGATTTCAGAAATTTTTTAATTTTTGATTAATTCTAATAGATCACTAATTTGTATCAAAACCATCTACTGTTTTAGAATAGCAATTGCCTGAATCTGTCTTATTATAGACAGAATATAAAGTTCAGAAATTTAAGCAAAATGTTCTACTGGAGTTAGTTTCTAATCACAACTGTTCTGCACATACCAAAGTCATCTAGTCAAAACACCAAGAGGGCAGAAAGAAGATTTTCCAAAATATTTTTTCCAATACACGATTCCATATTTCACAAATAATGCTCTTACGTTCTTTTTAATTTTATTTTTGATCGTTTCAATAACTCCAGCTTCTTCACTTTCACAAAGTTTTTCCGTAGCCTTTAAGTCATCACATGCCAGTTGCATTTTCTCTTCTTCAAATGTCATCATGGCATTCTTCAAAAAATAGAATATAAATTTGAATGACAAAAATCATAAACAAACATAAACCTCTTATCCTTACAAAAGCTACAGGAAAGCGATTTTCAAATAAGTTTGGCAATAAAATTGCTACTTTTTAAAATTTAATACATACACACACAGCATTACACATACTTCTACAAAGAAAAACAAAAACAGTGATTTAAGAATGCCTTTCCAAAATATCAAGACTCAAATCAGAGCGTATTAACTAAGTCCCATCCTCTTCTCTTAACACAATATGCAAACTGAATTCACTGTCACTTTACACACACACACAAAAAAAAAATCCGTTTGTTGTGATTGCAAGGCATGATTTACATCTGTGCAGACACTACTTTTACTTAATACTTCAGCATAGGTAATAGGCCTGCAAAATGAGGAACAATTAACTGCTACTGCACTGTAAGAAACAGCATGCAGAATTCCCACACGTTTGAAGAAAGCAAACGCATCGGACTCCAAGTGCCACTGAACCCATGTAGAAAGAATTTTAGAAGGAGCAACTTTTTCCCCCTGCTGCCTTGCTTTATTTAACAGCACGTGTGAACGAGTCCAGCAGAGCAGCGAAGCAGAGGCTGCTCCAGACACAGTGCTGCCCTGCTCAGCACAGCCATGCGGGGCAGCCTCCTTCCCTCCTCCTCCTCCTCGTCCTGCCCTGGCTTACAGCAAGCGCCTGCTTCCCAACCAGCGCGCCTGCCTGCACCACGCGGCCTAAGCGCGCCAGAACGGGTGCCATTTAACTTTCACCTGCCAAATTCTAGCGCATATGATATACTGAATTATGGCTTTAAGGAGGATATTACCATAGAGAACTTCTGGTGCAACATAAGATTAAGCAGCAACAGTCAGAACGAGATCTGAGTATTTTCCCTGTACCCTTTTTTTTTCTTCTTTTGGGAGGGAGGGAGGAAGAGGGGTAATTACAAGACTTCTTCATTTTTGCTATGAAAGCATTTGAAAGAAATAACATGTTTTCATTATGACTCTTTAATCAGTCAATATTCTCAGTTCTCATACACTCACAAAGGCAGCAGCATAAATGAACCTAAGATTAAGAACCTTCTTCCTGTCGTATTACTGAGGAATACTAACAGCTATTTAGAAAAAGGTATTTATAAGTGTTAATCTAATGCCATATCTACTGATCATTTAGGAAAGAACTCTTATGGCTCTTTTAATGGAAGACAGCTATTTCATATACTTAAGAAGCTGAATCACAGAGCCTTTGTTTCCTGTTTAAACCACATGAGCAAACATGTTTTATTTAACAATGATTTGCTTTTTAGCTGCATCTAAAACTTTGAAAAAAAAGTCTCACAAAACAAACTAAGTATATCCACCACTGTGAGCACATTCATGAACAGAGATTAACTATAAGAGAAAAGATATATACTCTCTGCATCTACTCACCAAAAAACTGACAAAACTGGCTCCAAAACTCATTAATGGGCTCTGGTTTCTGTCAAAAGAACAAAATGCAGTTAACTATATTGGCACATAACACAAATATTCTATTACTTGATATCAAATCATGATCATACACCTGCAAATAAACTCTCTTTTTTAATATCATGTTACAAATTACTGTATCACTCTACAAAATAAGCATCATCATTTTCACTAGGACCTAAATAAACCTTTACAAAAAATTAAGTTTTCAAGCATTAAGCAGTAGATATTTTAAGAAAAAAATATTGCCAATAAAATCAAAACTGCAGGACTTCAGGATCAAAACTGCAGGATTTCAAAATCCATTCATTCTGCTCTATCGTCACAATTCTAACCTACCAGACAAATGTTAACCAATTCTATCAGAAGATTCCCAGCTCCATTTCTATGGATTGAAGTTAATGTACCGAAAACTCATTAAAAAAAAAAAGATGGAAATATGAAATCACCTTTTATGATTGCAGATATTTCCAAAAGGCTGAAATCCTTTTGGGCTTGTTGGACCAAAAACGTAAGCAGCCAAAATCATGGGAATACATGGGATAAGTTTCAAGGTTCGAGGGTATTGCAGGCACACAGACCATCAAGCTGTAGTCAATTCAGACACAACACACTAAAAAAAGCTGTTTTCAGGATTTCACTGCATCTGCTGTTCAGCTTTAGGAAATCTCTGACTCACAGTTTATATACTATTACAGGAATAATGCTAAAGTATGTTCTGCACTATAGAAGAAAAAATAATATCTAAACACTAACATCTTTTCTGGGTTTTATGAAAAGGTTATATTTACAGTGTAAGTAGCATATCACTACAATACGGTACTTACGGTGCTTCTAACTTAATTCTGCAAGGACCAGATTAAAGAAGATTTTAAACAGGGTCAAGCATTTGAAAAAAATTTGGAAAAAGTGATATATTGTTTATTACAAAACACATTTCCACCAGTAAAACTATGCAGACGATTCTTTTCCAAATGTCATTATTAGTATCCCCTCCACTTTCTCACTTTGCGATTTAGCATACACACACAATAAGAGAGGAAAGGAAAAAGAAAAAAAAAGAAATAAGAAAGAGTACATTAAAAAGGTAAATTAGACCCAAAAATCTTTCGCTTATCTACACTGCTCTTTTCAAGACATATATATGAAGCTTATTTTTTCATTATTGTTTCCAAAGAAAGACAAGATAACTATTTTCCTCTTTGTTGGCAGGCATAAAAGAAAAGCTATCAGTAGGAGCTTCCACTACTTGGCACCTGGAGCGTTCTCTACCAAGAGCTGTGTCACAAAGACAGGTAGAAACTTTCCACACGAGCCTTTTTTTTGCTTCAAAGAGATGTCAAAGTAGTCCTTATTTAGCATCAATGTTTCACACTGAAATCTGTTCAGAAGAGAGAATTTCCCTGACTTTGACGAGGGTGGAAGACTATTTTTCCAAGTGAGTTATAAGTAATCAACCATGACAATCTTCAAATGAACCAGAATCAAAAAAGTACAAGACACAATAAATACCTAATAAAGCTTGCACTATTCAACATTCAAAGTATATTCTAAAGACTTGTATCAAGTTTCTATCCACAATAAGAAAACATTACTTGTTAAAACTCTGTACAACAGGATCCAAGATTTTGGGGTTATTTTAAGTACGTGCATTAACAAGTCAAATATGCTTAGCAACATATAGATTTCTTCACAGAGAAGCAAGCATCCAGACATTCCTTATGGCTTGGCAAGACAGATATCAGTTTTATCAGCAAAACTGAATTTGTATTTAAGTTTTGTGGAATTATAGAACAAGTAGTAAAAATTATGCATATGAAAGTATTTTAGATGCTAGGACTTCTTTTTCCTCGCTTTCCGTCTATTAATAAAAGGGTTCTCCTACTACAGAAACAGGTAAGCTGGTAAAGCTCCAAAAAAATGAAACATATTAGCGATAGAGGTAAAGTGATTCCCCACCTATGGGACTAATATTTTCAAGCAGAGTAACTGTCATATTTGGGAGACCCCTAAAAAGAAATAACTAAGAATGAAATAATCTTGCATTCAACAGCTCAACATATACATTAATTTGGACATGGCAGACAAGCATCAATTTACGGAATGTATTTTTCTTTCTCTCCTGAAATTAAAACCTGTTCTTTAGAGCATACATTAAACCATGAAGGTATCAACATTTAAATAAACATATTGAAAGCCTGGAGATTTCTTTTTGCTAATATTTTAATATTTTGTTAAAGACAGATGGCTAGTCACAGTTGGGTCAACTGTTTTTCCATCCCAAAAGATAAAGAATCTTTCACTGCTTGCAATAACCATTTAGCTAAGTATAAACACTGAGAAGTTTTTTCCACAAATATTTATCTTAAGTCACTTGCCAAAATGGTTTGTCTGTTTGCATTTTGATACCCCCATCTTGATTGCCTTTGCAGTTCGTCTCCTGTCACAGACGAAACAAAACCCCAGATCCTTGAGAGCCACATTGCTCTATGCTGCGGTTATCACTAGCTATAATACACCAGGTGGGATGTTACAGATTGAGTGACTGAACATTAAAAAGGACTTCCTATAAAAAGCCTTCTCATTAAGCACATATGGACTGCTTTGTCACCGTGAAGCAACAAAACACCACGTTCAATGTTATCTGGGAAATGCTTTTATTAAGATCGAGTCTGGCAACAAAAACACAAAACCTCTGCTCCCTCAGCACTTTTGGATGTCTTATCAATAAATGAATTAAGGTATGCTTCTACCATATTCTGTGCAGTGACTAGGTAGAAGCTATAGCTTGATGGAAAAAAATCACTTCTTAGTGTAATTTTAGCATTTAAATATCTATTTTAAACACCAACTGCATTTATTGCTCAAGCTTTGTGATTTGTGAAGAGTACATAAAACGATAAAATAGCTCAGTGTTACCTTCTCAAGAGCTGTAAAGTTTGCAATGACATAGTATAGGCTCCATCAGTAACACCACAGCATGACTAATGCTGAAAGCAAGTTTCTGAACACCACACTTCCATGATGTACCCCTCCACTCAAGTTCGTTATCAATGTTTGCAGAAATGACTGTCAGCATCAGACATGATTCTGCATCTTCTGCCAGAATCCAAGAAGTTAAGACACCTCCTATCTATACAGGCAGCACTTGAGGTATCACTAACAGGGAAACAGTGGCCACATTGATGCTGGCAGGACTGAGGCTATTGAGCACAGATGAACCTTGGGACACCACACTTCCCAAGTTACCTTCACCACTTCAAAGTAATAGCCTCTAAAAAGGATTTAAAAATGATTTTTAATTAGCTCAAAGATAAAGAAAAGCTTAGCGCAAAGGCCAAAAAAGTCCTAAACTGTCGCCACTGAATTTACACTCTCTCTAACAAATCTATTCTAACATTTAATCATGAGGCTTGTACCATCAATTTGCTTAACTATTGTCCTCAATACCTTCATGAATGGGGTGCTAACAAGCAATACAAGCAACTTAAAACCAGCTAGACCTTAAAAATATCAAACCATTAAAAGTATGGTTTTATAGCTGCATTGTCCTCTCCAGATATGTCTCAAAATGATTTGCATTTTGTCCAGCAAATTGGCAGACACAAGATATTTTAATAAAAAAAAGTATTCTATTAATACAAATTCTACATTATACCACAATAAAAAAAATCTAGAAAATGAAATTATGTATAACTATATTTAAGTTATATCCTTAAGTACTCTGCAGTAGAACCTGTGTGCCTTTGAGCTCTTCCAGTTTTCCCAGCTGTATAAATCAGCGTTATGTGAGACATTGCTTCTCCCAGCAAACCCTGACTAATTCACCTCATTTCATGGCTTATCTTTAAGATGATCGTTTATTTTCAGAAGAAACATTTGCCAAGCCCCATTTTCATGCATGATGATAACATCCAGGAGTCTTAAACTTTGGTTTAATAAAGCTGGGATAACACAGCCTTATTTTAATTATTAAAAACCAGAACTGAAGCACATCAGAAGAAAAATCAATTACTTCTCCTTTTTCCTTTCTCCATTTTCATGATAATATTTTGTTTCAAAAATACATAAGCTTCAGAAGCTACTAAAGCCTAGCTCAGGTTTATCAAAATAGTGTAATTAACCCACCATTTCCCCCCACCCCATTTTCCAGGCACTGCCACTTCAGCAACATTCCAGTCATCATGCAGATTGTGATGCTCAAGTTGAAACAAAACAAGTTATTTTTCTCCAAAGTGGGAGAGTAAAACATAATGAAAATTAAGAGCTTGCTTAAGTTCACAGATAAACATCAAAATAGATACCAAGTATTTTAGAACTAGCAAACACATATTTAAAGTGTTAAGGGATTTATTGAAAACACATAAAAATCTTTTCATCATTATTCAATAGAATGTTCAAGAATTCTAAGAATTCTAAGCATGATTTCTGAGGATACAAACCTAAGGCACCTCTATACTGCTAAACATTTCACCCAGTACTGACGTGCAAAATTCCTAATACAATATAAACATATTCAAGAATCACAGTATTAAGATACATTTTAATGGAAAACCTCTAATGTCAGAGGCGGTTTACAGACTATAACTCACTCAAATTTGTTTTGACTGTTGAATGAATTCTAAACATATACCACTATAACACTATGAATACCCAACCATTAAAAAAATATATAGTTCTATGGCTCTTTTTACTTGATTTTGTTCTGCTCTTTCCTAAATTACCAGCAGATTGTTTAGCTGTAACTTCAGGCTGTTAAGTTTAGATGCACGACAAGATAAAACAGTGAGAATTAGCAAATACTGGAAAGCATTTCAAATTGCATCTGTACTTTGAAAAGCATTTATAGACCCAAGACATAACCTAATTATAGTTTAGCCCCTGATCTGTACTAACTGCGCAATTGCACCCTCTTAAAATTCACATCAACTACAAATTTATCAAAATCTTTCTCCAGTGTAGGCTCAACTACCCTGACTGAAATTAGGGCAGGACTAATTACAGCAGC